ACGTAAATCACAACAACACACTTTTTTAATAAAGCAAACAAGTGTTAAGAGGTATATGTACGTGTAAACTACAATTACAAAAAATTGATATATCGTTTTGTTTAATAGATCAAGAAATGTAAATATTCCCCTGTTATTTTTTATAAAATTATCAAGAGAAATAAATTTTTTTCTAAATAGTATAGTTTATTATTTTGTAGAAAAACAAAATTTCGAAAATTTTAGTAATGTTTCAGAAACAACCGTTATTAATAATAGGTACCATTTTCCTTAATAAGGTAGAAATAAAATATAAACTATTTCCACGATTTACAAAGGCCTACAAAAAAATTATAGGTATTTTCCGCTATCCTATAAAATTTATATTTTCTGACTCAATTTCAAAAGGTTGAAGGAATTCCAAAACACCTTTTATGGCATAATAATTATTTTTAATTCTACATACTATCTTGAGCTGCTTTTAAAAACGTTCTAAGAAAGTCCAATCAGACCAATTTAATCCCTAAACTATTCCACACTTTTAAAATTTAATTATCTAAAAATATTAAAAACTATTTAAAATAACTTGTTTAGCAGACTGTACAATAGCTATCTTAGTCACACGTAGCGCGTTCTCTGTCTGGGCGTCGAACACCTCTAGAAATTTGATGAACTGTAATTAATTAATACATAAGGAATTATATTTTGGTGCCGAAATCTCACCATTGCTATTATTTACCCTAACTACCTCAATGTAAATAAATCACATTATAACATTTACACGTAGACTATAACAGTCATTTCAGAAAATTTGCCAAGCTATTTTGCTCAGTGATAGTGATAAGGTTTTTTTAGCGTATTAAGTTGTGTATCTGTTACAGTCAAAGATGATATTCCGGTCTTTAACGATATTGGCCGGTCATTTTCGTAAATCTATTATTTGATTGGGCATTCTGCTGACGTTAGTGTCCGGTTAATATCGCCAGTGCCCAATTTACAACACTGCCCGTAATATATCGATAATATTCATGCGGTGAAAAAGGTCCAGCCGATATCAAAGGCACTGACAGTTAGTGTCGCTTCTTATTGATCGCTATTCTTAGATAAAAGTAAGTCCAAAGAAAAGTTAGACAACAATTCTTCAAAAATGCATTAATTGAATTTGTAACATTTTTTTTTGTTCGATTTACTGCAATATAAACTGAGCTTGGATCGAAAATGTGCAAAACGATATTGTAAGGATGATGTAATTTTGATGTTTTATATTTATGATATACCTAGATAGATATATTTAGATTGTGCTGCATGAATACTCTGAGATAAATACTTACGAGGATATTAGAAAAAATTAATAAATTTTGGTAGGTGAATTATTATTATATTTTTTCATGCGTTAAGAAAAACAATATGTCATAGTTACTATTCTACAGAAAAGCCAGCCTATTGGAAGATGGGAAACACTTACGAGAAAAATCTTTTAAGAGGATACTACCATTAGTAAATCTCAATTTGTTTCTAATGTCAAATAGCTTTACTGACGTTGATCTCTGTCAGGATCACCGACCGGTCATTTACTTTATCCATGCTTTTAAAAAGGACGATACGTTAAACAGAAAGTTTGGATACCTCGACATAGAAATATTGTGAAAAATAAGGAAGCTGATTAACTTGCCAAAAGGTGATCGTACCATCCTGGATCAGTTCCACTATTAAATCAGAGAAATATCACTAGAAAAACGGTTAAAGTTAGTTTAGGCTTTTTACTAGGTACGACTATACTGAGAATATGTAGACGTTATTAAATTAAAAATAACATATTATCTTTTTGGCAAATAAATCTTAGTGTTTATTCAAATTAACAGGTGTAATCATTCCTTCAAAATATGTTTGACGGTTCTAAAATAAGGACCAGGAAGTTCAATATGCCCTGATCTTTATATCTAAACACAAAATAGTATGTGAGAGTTATGTCAGAGTATATCGAACTAAGCTCTTGGGCATTCTTGTAGCAGAAAAGTATATTACCAGAAACCATATCACTGGAAGGAATACGATCATCAATATTTTGGACATACCACGAGTTTACTCAATGTTTTTACTACTAAAATACCACCAAGCTTTGGCAGAAGTATCCGTAAACAATCTGATCACTTTAAGATAGAGTGGATGAAAAAAATAGCTGTTTGTAAGGCGCATCATTTTGCCGAATTTGTTAAAATATATTTATTGACCATAGCAGCTTAAATTTTTTTTATTCTATTCACATCTGTACATACGGTAGATTTTTTTGTTTCCCGTGCTGTATAAAATTAACGACATATTTTTTATATTTCTGAACTTTTTTTGAGAGTAAATACTACAAAAAACACATTTGTTTAACGTCGGCTTATTTCTATGCTGGTAAGCACACTACCCCCAAATACCTCACATATCAATGTTCTATGAATATACTAAAAACGTGTTTTTTTGATGTCCTTTATAGAATGTGCTTAGAACATACCTAGTACTTTGAAAGTATATTTTAGAAAGTATATACTGAGTACGTGCTTTGAAAGTATATTCTATATATACTTAAAAGTATATTCTAAAAACTATATACTGAGCAACAACAGGACATTCTTATAACACTAAAAGTCATATACCCAGCATGTACCTCATATTCTGTTCATTATAATCTAAAAATATATCTTTGAAGTGCTATAATCATTTATTTGATTACAGTTGCAATATACATATTAATTAGTTTTTAAGTTACCTAGTAAGGCATCCTAAAATGTCTTTTTTCCGTTTGATGTGAGATTCATTATTCTATTGATATTGATATTATATGAATGTACATTGTATAATATCTTATATTTTAGGATTAAAATAATATATTTTTTGCAAGTTTCTGTTAACAACGATTCCAAGAACTTTTGAAAATATTATTAAAACGGCCTTCGCAAATATAATTCTCAATTAAGAGCTTTTGATCTATCATTAAATTTTTATTCTCCAAAAGGTTACAGCTACCTAAGAAGAAAGTAACAAGACTTTTACCTCTTACCCAGACAACACACCAAATCCCAAAGATATCCACAGAATATCTTTTGTGGATATCCAATATATCCACAGGATATCAGAAATATTCCGTGGATCTAATATGGATATTCAAATGTCCGTCTATATCCAGAATATAGAAGATATCCTATGGATATTCAGCAAAATATCTAATTAGTATCTTCCAGACAATACAAGAAATCCCCGAGATATCCACAGAATATATTTTGTGGATATCCAATATCCAAATATGGATATCCAACCAAATGTCCGTCTATATCCCAGGATATAGAATTCAGATATTCAGCAAAATATTTTATAGGTATCTTTAGTAGACATTCATAAGTAACCAAATGAATGATAACGTCGAAAGAAAATAGAGATAAAAAATATTTCCAACAATCTGTCTTTGAGTTTGCCCACTAAGGAAAAAGTCATCCTTATTAGGACTCTTCAGCAATAAATGGAAATTCTCGACTCCAGTCTCTAATAGAGTCTTAATGCGAAAAAATGTTCGATCAACTCAATTATGGCGGGTTGAGCATGAGTAGATACGAAAGTGGTATCGCTATCTATACTTAGGAAGCAAAATCAAAAATTACATCTAGTAGTTATCCACGATGGTTTGCGTCCGCGCTAAGACTTTGATATATGTGGATGTCCATGGGATATTGAATACACCTTAAAAAAATTAATTTTAAATATCTGAACGGTACTATTAGCCACAATGGCGTAATTTTTTAATAATTTGCTATATAATTACTATTATTTATGGACATTTGCATGTCTATAAATTACATTTTATGGATATAAAATAGATATCCACCATGGACTGGACATTCAATGGATATTGGGATGTTCAGTAGATATCCAAAGGATTTGGTGTGCTGTCTGGGTACCAGACCCAAAATATCAAAATATTACTAACCAATTGATGATTCTCCTGGTTTCCATAGTGAAATTCTCCTCGAAACTACTATAAAAGAAAAGTGGCAGAGGCAACCGAAGAAGGCAAAAAGTCTTTTGCAAAACACAAACAAAAAATTTGTTTAAAAATCTAATTATTATTTGAAGTTTTACTATTAATAATTTTTAATAACGTTTTAAGATTATGAAGTTCTATATGTATTTTCTTTTTTGATTAAATTTTTATTATGACCAAAAATAAATTATAATTTTAATTTTTTTGGTAGTAGATGCATATGTATTTGGCTGGGAAATGAATTTTATTTTTAAATACATACTCAAGTAATTATACTTACCACTTTTTAAACTAAACCTGCGAGAAAGAAAAAAACGTTGAGACAATACCTACTTTAATTGAGTTATCAAATATTGGAATACATAAATGTATTGGTAAGTAGATATTGTCTCGTATCCAAATGATATGACATGAATCCAATTTGTTTTATAGTTAAATAAAAGTCATATTATAATAACAACAAATTTATTAAAATCTCTAAGCTATATAAAAATTTGAATTATAAATATTAAATGCAAAATAGTCATATTGTAAGTACATTTATATTGAGTATAGATGACATGACCAAAGTAAATACATATTACATATAACATATCATCAGTATAGACTATAGAGTATATAGTATAGAGCGTTTACAATTTTTTTTTTTTTTTTTTTTTTTTTTTTATTTGGTGTACGGCTTCAACATCTAAGGTCATTAGCCTAGTGTTCTATGTAGGTTATGGATTGTATTAGTAGTCTAATACTCCATAGTGCAGGAGTATTAGTACTCTAATACTCCTACATCCCTACAGACAGGCCTTGTTACTGTTTCCTTGCGCCACTTTAGGAACAGCACTGTTAATTAGAACCCAACAGTGAATGGTCGAGTGGGGAATCCTACCAAGGCATCAGAATTAATTTTAAATAATTAAATTAAATAAAAAAATCCCGGCCAACGGTGGGATTCGAACCTGGGACCCTTGGATCCACAGGCAGAGACTCTACCACTGAGCCACCCACCCCCCTCGTTTACAAAATTAAAGAAGAGAAATAATTTATTAACTCGAATTTTAAAGTTTTTATATTGCGTTGATTGATGATTGCGTTGATTTATGAAAGCAGTCTACAAGAGGTAGGCCAAAACAGAGTTATTCTTCTAGTAATAAAACTGCTTTATTTTGTTTAAAGAGATATCAAAGAGATAATAATCTCGTTTTATACAGAGTCTGGAATATTAGTAAATACTTAACTTATTATGGAATTTAGAATATTATAATATTTTTTAAACATTATTACTTTTGGAATAAACGAAACATTTGTTACCTTGATTACATTGTGGCGCATTGAAACAATTTTAGATGTGTAACGGTGTCCTTTGATTTAAACTTGAAAAACCCCCATCCATCGTCCTCAGAATGACAGAGCCCTCTGGGATTATAAATTAAATGTCTTAACATTTACATGATCTGATGTGGTATACGAACAATCGTCTCAACAATTTTAATTTTTTTTTTCATTTGAATAGCAGAAAATAAAGCAATATCAAGACATTTTGAACTGTTATATTTCTTAAAAAACTTCTTATTTTGAAAGGCTCTATACCAGAGTATCAGATCTAAAAAGTAAGGTATAGCTCAGTGGTTAGGGCCATGCATTTGAGATCGAAGAGTCTCAGGATTGAATCCCACTGGTGGCAGGAATTTTTATTTAAAAAAAAATCTAAATATTCATTCTAGGGATTCCTCACTCGACCATTCACTGTCGAGTTCTAATTAACAGTGCTCTTCCTGAAGTGGCGCTGGGAAAGAGTGACAAAGCCTACACAGAATACACATAATTGAGAATTTAAACACAAACTGAGACTGGCATATATTAAGTACATACACCTAGGCCATAAATCAAAAAAAAATATTAATATGGTGAAAGGCCTGCAATTTCCCATTAACTTCCCATCAATAGGCCATTAATTACAAATATACTTATTTCTAGACATTAAAGGGAAAATGGACGCCTATTAACTGGATTTGATGGCTAATTGACTTCGGCCCGACTGCTGGCCATGCTGTCCTTTTAATTATAAAAGTTAAATTGCCATTATTACAATTGGAGAGTAACAGTTATTCGGCATATTGCTGAATTGCAAGATATTTATTTAATTTTTGAATACAATTGTGTGCCTTGTAGACTAAATTGGATATTCCTGGAGATCGCTTTTGCCGTTAACGTTATTGCCAGGTTTTTCCGAAGACTGACTTTTCCTGACGTTGCCGTTTATTACCACGTTTTTCACAGATCTTGGCTTGTCCTGGCTGTTTTTTTCAAGTCTCGATAATGTTAAACCAGGAAAGAGTATCAAGGACTGTCAATGAGTACCAAGGACTGCCAAGGAATATTAAGATTTCGCTCTGAATCCTGGAACGTCTTTATAGATTTTTCGAAGAAAATAACAAGCTAAGGTGAATTATATAATTTTTTTGTAAGACCCTACTTGTAAACATTTGTGTAATAAAATTGTAAATATTTGAGAACCTATCTATTTCTTGCTGAGGAGTCCTAATAAGGACGAAACCGGTCCAAGAATGATGTTCTCCTTGGTGAGCAAAATCAAAGTAGAGTGTTGAAAATTAATTTCTATCTCTGCTGTTTTTCCTTCGGATGTAATTCAATGCCTGTTGTGGTATTAGCCAAAGGAGTAGTTGTTTTTCTGAAGGGGAAACGGTCGTTGTATTTTATGTGATATTCGGCTTTGAGCTAAATTCATTTATTTCATTTTGCTACTATTACATTTGAGTTTTGATATTTTATTATCGTTCAAATATTTTTTTGTTTGCTCTTTCATTTATCTACCAAATCACCGTTGAGGGTTAGAGCAACAATTTATCATAGGTTTTATCTTTTCCCCTTTTTAACCGACTTCAAAAAAGGAGGAGGTTCTCAATTCGTCGGTATATACAGGGTGTTTCCGAACTTGGCGTCCAAATTTGTAGGGGTTGTACAGTTCATCAAATTTCTAGAGGCTTTCGACGGCTAGACAGAGAAAGCACTACTGACAGGCATCAAGTATTTCACTATTTCATTCAGACGTAAATGTCAGATGTAAATTTCGCTAAAACATTTCTTTTATTTTCGTTTGTGTTTTTTGCTCATCACAGTTTAATAGAACCTAAGTATGGAGTTTAATAGCAAATTAAGAGGCCGCGTGAGTAACAGTCAATCTCGCGAAATAATAGCCAATGTTATAGAGTTTATGAGAAGAGAAGGAAACTTTAATTCACCTTCAATACCATTTAAAAATGTAAATGATCGTGTTGCTGCAGCCACAGGAGTATCTAAAAACACTGTCGTCCGCATTTCTGGAGAGAAAAAAAGAATCGATAACCATGAGATATCGGAATTTTAATCACCAAGAAAAACCATTAAAAAACCAAAAACAGTTAATGATATAGATGAAGCTGCACAAGAATCAAATTTTATTTTTTTATTATTAGATAGCTATTTTTGTTTCTGAGTTGTGTTCATTTACAGGCTCAATTTTTTTCCATTTCTCCTTTTTGATTTTATATGGGGTTTCAAGTTGTGTTTGACTTATTTTGACGTAAATCACAACAACACACTTTTTTAATAAAGCGAACAAGTGTTAAGAGGTATATGTACGTGTAAACTACAATTACAAAAAATTGATATGAAACCCATGAAACCACCAACAAAAATGTAAAGCTAGCTTCCGTACTAGAACATGGTGTCATTCGTCGAGATAATTTATCGTTTTGTTTAATAGATCAAGAAATGTAAATATTCCCCTGTTATTTTTTATAAAATTATAACAGAAATAAATTTTTTTCTAAATAGTATAGTTTATTATTTTGTAGAAAAACAAAATTTCGAAAATTTTAGTAATGTTTCAGAAACAACCGTTATTAATAATAGGTACCATTTTCCTTAATAAGGTAGAAATAAAATATAAACTATTTCCACGATTTACAAAGGCCTACAAAAAAATTATAGGTATTTTCCGCTATCCTATAAAATTTATATTTTCTGACTCAATTTCAAAAGGTTGAAGGAATTCCAAAACACCTTTTATGGCATAATAATTATTTTCAATTCTACATACTATCTTTAGCTGCTTTTAAAAACGTTCTAAGAAAGTCCAATCAGAACAATTTAATCCCTAAACTATTCCACACTTTTAAAATTTAATTACCTAAAAATATTAAAAACTATTTAAAATAACTTGTTTAGCAGACTGTACAATAGCTATCTTAGTCACACGTAGCGCGTTCTCTGTTTGGGCGTCGAACACCTCTAGAAATTTGATGAACTGTAGTTCGCATAATTTGAGACCGATTCGCAGATTTAATTTTTCCAAAATGTTTAAAATAAAAATATTTCAAAATTATAAACAGGTACGGTCCTACACAGCGATGGATCGCCCCGACTCGCGCGCGCTACGCTTAGAATCGACAAAATTGCAAATCGCATCTGTTTTTGAGGACTATTGCGCTACGCGCTCAGGGTAGGACCTGCTCTTTGATTTTTTTTATAATGGCTCTATTTTGTTTATTATAATTTTTTTAGAAAAATGAAATCTGCCAATAGCTCTCAAATTATGCGAACAACCACCCTTACAAATTTGGACGCCAAGTTCGGAAACACCCTGTATATATTTTTTTGTGTATATTCAGCGATTATTATTTATCACGGTGTCCGATTTCAATGATTATAAATTTGGTCAAAAGTTAATAATTGGGTCCATGAGAAAATTCTCAAACTCTGCATTTTTTATGTATGTTTAGCGATAATTCTTTACAACCTTGTCCGATTGCTAGAATTCTTTTTTTTTTGGTAAGAGGATACCTCAGGGGTAGTCCCATATAAATTTGATCAAAATCTAAAAATTGGGTTAATGATAAAATCCTCAAACTCTTCATTTTTACTTTCCTATCTGTATACAGATATAAGGAAAGTATAGGAATCATGATTCTTTTCGACCTCGAGTTTTCGACGGATTTTTACGTTTTGAGGTCCCCTGAATCCGTTTTGACTATTTTCGCGATGATGTCTGTGTGTGTGTGTGTCTGTAGGTCGCATAACTCATGAACCGATACACAGAAAAACACCAAATTTTAAACTTAAGCTTTGTTTCAGCGTCCAATGAGCTGATTAGATTTTGGGCAGAGTCGGAACATCTGGGGGGGTACTTTATAGGTGGTCATTTTTATATTTTATGGAATATATCTGTTATTTACGTTTGGAGAAGAAAATTCTTCAAATAAAAGTTACTTCTTATATAATTATTTATAATTTTTGTTTTATGCAAAATTTTCCTAAAATGGTCCGTATTCGAGAAATTTGACAAAATGTAAAAAAAAATATTTTTTTATAAAAATTGTTCAAATAAAAGTTGTTTGTAATATAATTCTCTATAATTTTTATTCTATAAATAATTTCTCTAAAATGGACCGTATTCGAGATATTTGAGAAAATGTGTAAATTTCGAATTTTGAAGAAAACTCAAAAACGGATAAAGGAAAAAACATTAAATTTTAAACTTAAGTTTTATTTCGACCTGAGGTGAACTGATTAGATTTTGGACAGAGTCGGAACATTTGGGGGGTACTTTATTGGTGGTCATTTTTATATTTTATGACATATATTCGTTATTTACGTTTGGGGAAGAAAATTCTTTAAATAAAAGTTACTTACAATATTATTATCTATAATTTTTGTTCCATGTCAAATTTTCCTGAAATGGTCCGTATTCGAGAAATTTGACAAAATGTGCAAAATTCTGATTTTTAAGAAAATTGTTAATCTAAAAGTTTGTTTGCGATATCGATATCTATAATTTTGGTTTTTAAATGACTTTTCTAAAATGGACCGTAATGGAAAAATTGGAGGAAAAGTGCTAAATTAAAATTTTTCAGTATTTTCGTTTTCAATGAATATCTATAGAAAAATGTTTCGAGGTAGATGTATGTGGAAAATGTATATATTTAGTTTATCCTCTAAACATTTTTAGAGATGCTGCAATAGGTTAACTAGATAGGAAAGTCATGTGTTGGACACATCAGATTTTTTATATATGTTTAGCGATAATTCTTTACCACCCTGTCCGATTTCTATGATTCTTTTTTTGTTGGTAAGGGGTTGGTCCCATATAAATTTGGTTAAGATGTCACATGGCATCTGCACAATTTTGAAGTCGGTTTTTTAAAATTACTTTTAATACTTGTTATTAAATAAAATAAAGGTGGTCCATAATTTGATGTTGCTCTAAACCCCGCCAATATGCAGACACGTGTCCACATCCTGAGTACCTAGTTTAAAAGGTAGAAATTAGGTTACACGTTTTACTAAAAGTAGCAAAAAGGAAAGAAAACAAGAATTATATTTATTTTAACTAGTTTATGGAATTTCACTTTTTTCATTATTGAGTATTTATTTAATATCAACACAGACATATTGCCATAAAGAGCAATGGAAGTATACCTAGTGGCATTTAACGTGTTAAATTTTAAAATACATTTAACTTTTGATATTGCACTTGTTTAGTACTGATTTGATTTAGTGTTTAGTATACAAATTAACGTCTAAAAAAACCAATATGAAATACATTTTTACATTTAATGAAATATTAATTTAATAATTAACAGCATCGAATAAATTATTCATAAATAAATCATACAATTTATACATTTTTGAATGAATAATGTTACATAAATATCGAAAGTAATATAAAATATTACATATTTACAAAAATATATATTTAGTTCATTGCAACACAATTGTAAAATTCATATAACAAGTAACAATTACATCTATCTACAACGTAACATATTACTTTTCTATTCTATATATACAAAGTGACCCATTTGAAAGCGGACACCCTCATACATTTTTTATTTATAGAACGCTTTTGACGAATTTTTTATTTAAATGTGGAGAGGAAAAATGTTTATTTTGCACCCAAGGCGGCGTCCAGTTTTTTTGAAAAGCAAGGCCTACTTATTAATTTTTTTTATCGTATGTGTGTTACTAGATAAACAGCTTCTTAATGGATAATAAACAACTTGTCAGTAATTTAGTCATAGAATCGTTAATTTTGAATTTTTGTTTAGATTTATTTTAGAAGACGCCAATTCCATTGGCGTACGCGATTTTTTTTTTAAAAAATCGCCAATATGGATTCAGGATTTTTCAGTCTTTGAATGTGCTCTAGTAGCCCTTGGTTTTAAAAAAAAACTGGACGTCGGTTGCCTCCAAAATACACCATTTAAACCCACCATATTTAAAAAAAATCAAAATTGTTCTATAAATAAAAAAATTATGGACCACTCTGTATATATAAACGAAACATAATATTACAAAAATAATGTTTCAAAATAATTATTCTATTGAATTTAAGTCAGATTATTCTCATGTGGGTATTCAAATTTCTATCACGTTGTACCTTTGGTAAATTTATTTATACATACCACTAAAAACCACGGTCAGTTTTTCTGATTGTACTTATGTTTTTTTTTTTATACAATTTTTACTTATCATTCGTGATGCTGATGAAGAAGTTAAAACAATTTACTAAATTAAACATACTTTTTAATATTCGATTTATACTTTAATTAATTTGATTACAAAATAAAGGTATTTTATTAAATTTAAAAAAAATTGGGGTAAAATAAATTTCCTAAAAAGGCCAAAAAACATAATTTAATATTCTTTCTATAAGATAAATAATTTTATTTAAGAACGATGTATTTATGTTCAGCATATACAAAGCAAAAGCAAAAGTATTTCTGAGTGACATATAATGTACAATAAAAAGAATAATTAACAAAAATAATGCTATATTAATTAGCATTCCACATATCATGAAATGTCCAGATTATATTCCTCAATAAGTTTTTATTATTCTTGAATGTATTAAGAAAATATTCCTACACAGAGTGATTCATAAGTACTTTGACAAACTTCAAGAAATGATTCTTTGAGTAATTTTAAGGTAAAAAGTTCATATAAACATGTGTCCGGAAATGGATGGTTTTCAAGATACAGGATGTTAAAGTTTTAAGAAAAAAAATCGTTTTTTTATCATATCTTTCATGCCACTGAAGATAATTTAATGAAATTTGGTACACGTTGTTTTACCATAAAATGACATTTTCTGATGCTATTAACTTTTTTTTTATTTTCATCAGTGGCGTCCCTACGGTATTTAAACTCAATATTATTAAATAAAAAAATGGTACGCCACTGGTTTTTTACAAATTTGATCTCTTGACTTTTGTTCGTAAGACGCACCGTTTTCGCGTAAAAAAATAAAAACCATTTTCAGCCCTTTCTTTCTTCCGTTCCGACTGTATGGAGAAACTTACAGACACTTTCTAGAAAACGAATTGCCGGGATTACTTCAGAATGTACCTTTAGTAAATCGTATCCGCATGTGGTTTATGCATGATGGGGCTCCGGCCCATTTCAGCGTTGTAGCCAGGGAATTCCTTAACACTGTCTATCCAAATCGATGGATCGGTAGGGGTGTAGAAGAACCTAACCAGGCGTGGGCACCAAGGTCCCTAGATCTAAACCCGTTAGATTTTTATTTTTGGGGACATATGAAGTCATTAGTTTATAAAACTCCAGTGGCAAACGGGGAAGAACTAAGAAACCGAATAATAGACACCTGTGAAAGAATAAGAAACACACCAATAATTTTTAAGCGAGTACGAGATTCAATGACTAGAAGATTTAATGACTGTATCTTCGCTGAAGGTGGACACTTTCAACAATTTATTTGAATACAGTTTAATTTCGTTTATTTAATTTTATTTAAAATTTTTGAAATAAAATGTTGATATTTCTTGCATATTGCATATTTTATTTAAAAACTAGTCAAGAGATCAAATTTGTTCCAAATTTAATGTAGATTTTAAAAATAATTTTTATTTTTTAAAAAACCAGTGGCGTACCATTTTTTTCTTCAATAATATTTAGTTTAAATACCGTAGGGACGCTACTGATGAAAATAAAAAAAAGTTAATAGTATCAAAAAATGTCACTTTATGGTAAAACAACGTGTACCAAATTTCATTAAATTATCTTCAGTGGTATGAAAGATATGATAAAAAAACCGAATGTTTTTCTTAAAACTTTAACACCCTGTATCTTGAAAACCATCCATTTCCGGACACATGTTTATATGAACTTTTTACCTTAAAATTACTCAAAGAATCATTTCCTGAAGTGTATCAAAGTACTTATGAATCACCCTGTATACACGTATATACAAATATATAGCAGGGGTTCCCAAACTTTTTCAGTTCGCGGCTATAGTATTTTGTCTAGATGCACTAGGGTTCCAGATTTACGAATTAAAAAAAAACAGCAGGTCTTTCTAGCAAGCTTTAAAAAAAACAACGGGATTTGAATTGTTTATTTTGTTTAATTTCCTCACGGCTCCCTTATTTACTCTATACGGCTCCCCAGGGAGCCCCAGCGCACAGTTTGGGAACCACTGTTATATAGTATTATATACGGATGTGAAATTGGTGTGATTATTAATATAGGAATTATGAGTACAAAATAAACAATTAAAAATAGTGATAATATTCATATTTTACAGAAATAATAATAGTAAATAATTGAGTTACATAAGTTTCTACATTGCATTGGCACCCTATAGTAAAAAAATTCGAATACAAAACAATATAAAATAATATTCAAAATAATCTTATTAATACACCTACTGTGATTCTTATTTGACTAGTTATCCTTTATTCTATATTACAAGGCAAGTTTGAAGGCCACATTTATACACATTTTTACAAACAAATCACAATACATGTAAAGCGTTTAGGCATCAAAGTTTGTAAGTGATATTCAACCGTCACAACTTACACTACTTTATTATTTCGATATACCTGAACTAAAGGTTTGTTCCAACAAATATTAGAAACCAGTCATTGACACTAGGATTCTGCGCAGTAAAGAGGATTGGAACCGTCAAAATATCTACTGCACAGTGACTAGTTTCTGATTGTTGTTGGAACAGTCCTAAAAGATGTAGGGATTCAAATTAGTTATAAACATAAAGGTGGAAAAACGTATTCATTTTAATAAATTTATTTCTACACACTGATATACTTATATCATTATCTTGATCCTCATTATAATACGCCATTCCTAATCTTTTTGATTTATTTAATTATAAATAAAAAAATTTAACATGTTTTTCCAAGAATACACAAATTACGCATGTTTTGCTACATCTTTTTTGGCAAGCAACCATGTTTGGCTTAAAAAATTATCTTTGCTCTTATGATATCTATTAAATATCATCTGTAACTACTATACATCGTAGAACATGGTATTTTTATTAAGTCTAGGCTCTTCTTCGGTGCCTGCGTCTCCATTCATAGCATCATAATAAAGGGTGGTAGTTGAAAGGAGAGAGTCCCTATTTCTTGCTATAAAGATAAACTTGAATTAATGGAAAGTTGTTTTTCCATTTCTGTTACAAAATATCTAAATCGTCTGTTTTCTGTGCAGTGTCGTTTAATTTTTTAATTTCGGATGACCATGTTTTTATGTATTTAATAATACTGGCCTACGAAAAATTTCTTATTGAAACACATTTAGTTTTTATTATTATTATTATTATTTAAAAATTAAAAGAACAAGTTTACAGACAAATGTAATGAATTTAAAAGAAAAAGCAAAAGTAAGAGTATGAAGAAAGAAGGGAAGAAACTGAACATTCTTACACTTTACTAATTGAAAATGTATTTGGATTAAAGTAACTAAATAACTGAATGTTATAAAGAAAAAGGGATTGGACGTAGATGATATAGATGAAGCAGAAGAGGTGCATGAAATAATTAGAAGGGAACTAAACAGCAACCAAGACCCAGAAGCTGAAACTGAAACTCTCAAATATACATTCTTAATGACACAGCAAAGGGTAGCTAAAGAGTTACTAACAAAGAGAGTGATTGAAGAAGGGTGGAACAGATGGAGGATAAGAAATCACAATGGAACACCAATATAGAGTATATCGTACTAAACTGAAGAATGCAAGAAAAGAAAAAAAAGGCATGGAATTAACTATGTGAAGAAATAGATACAATGGTTACAAAAAATGAAACTGATGAAACAAAGATTATTTTACATCCATGAGTGTATGCAGGAAATATTAAAGAAAGGTGAGTAATAAAAAGTAGAATAGAATAAATATAAATAGTTTGAGTGTTGTTAACATTAAATAATGCAAAAAGCTAAACAGTGAACGAATAAAAGAGATCCAATGCGCAGAGGGAATTATGTGCAGTTGTGATTAAGAATTGTGGGAATTAATAGCGAATTTCCAGAAATTAAGAAAATTGCGCTAATTGCTGAGGAATTGCAAATGAATTTTGGGAATTACACAGTAAAATGGAATAAAATGTACACGTTTTAGCCTCGAAATGGAATAAATATTAATGAACCTCACAAAGTATATGTCATACTTTTATCTGAAAAATTAACATGTTAGTAGATGAGCAATAGGGCTTCTGACTCACTATTTCCAAAAGTAACCGCTAGATGGCGCCATCTACCATTGTTGGAAATTAAAACTTAAATATGCCCACTAAACGTAACGTTTCTCATAGAGACTTTTCTTGATATATTTTTTTAACGATACTAAAATATCCCATAGGTGTTTAAAGTTTAACATCATATTCATTAACACTCCTCGCATTTATCTACAAATGAAGTTTTATGTACGCTGCAATACTTGAATTAGCAGTTACATAAACATATTTTGTACTTCTTTTTAGTTACTTCCTGTGACAAACATTTATGGGATGTTAATTTTTATAAATCACAATAATATCGCATACAGGTCACCACAGTAATGTGTACAAGTTACACATCTTTAAAGCCTTGGTTTCTTTAAACACTCCGTCACGGTGAACCGCTGAGGACAGCGATTTTCGCCCGAAGTGGTTTGTTAAATAAAGAAAATGAGACTTTCTTTATGTCTGTATGTGCTGTTTATGTATTATGAGTAGAAACAAAAGGTACTAAAATGGACTCAAATAAATTAGTTGCGTTATTATTATTATTATTATTAATTATTATTATTATTATTATTATTATCAAATAAGCCAGTGAATAAGTTGGTTTTTGTGTCGCGATACAGAAGGTGTCTTTAATATCACTATACAGTAGAGGCTTTTTAAAAATGAAACCAAATTTAAAGAGTACTTTAGACTTTTTACAGATCTTTTTGAATTCGTGTTGAGTTTTGTAAAGGACGACATTCTATCACACTGTATAAAGGAGGATGTTGTCGAATCAAATCTATTAAGATTTCATAATCTGTATGTGTGAATTTATCACTCATTGTTTTAAAAATAATAATATAATAATTTGAAGAGAAAAATCAGATGCAATGGCAATGCCAAAAGGACTTTTGGGAGTAGTGCGTTCGAAGCCTTGTTGCTCATCTACTCTCCTAATATTTTTGTTATAATAGTAACTTAACTGTTAAATTTGCGACGTAGCTTAAAAAAATAGAAAAAGCAACGATAATAACATAAAAATAAAATTTCCCACACCAGATGCTTAAGCGAAAAAAGCAATCAATCTTTATAGGTAATAAATTCAAAGTAAATAATAAGTATAGGTATCTGTACAAAAAATTTCACCAATTTAAGATCGATATTGCCTCTTTTTTCTAATTCTACTGATTTTCCATACACAGATGATGATTCTTAGCATTGTATAAATTGAGGGTTAATTTGCGATGGTTTTGAACGCAGATTTGCTGAAAATTATGAATTGTGGTTTTTATAAATTGAGAGTGTTTCACTAGACCAAATATCAGCGACTATTTCTTTAGAGAAACATTCAATATTTGGTCTAGTGAAATTTTTGTCTCAAATATAACACGACTTTGATTAATAGTCTGCCATTTTTATTGTTGCTAAATTTCTGGAATATTGTACAATTTGATTCGACATAACTGACATTAATTAAAATATTTTCGAGATTTAGACGCAACGAAAATAGCCAATTATCAAGATCTTGGTATATTACCCTCGATGATTAGTTTCGCTATTACATAGTTAGGTATTACTTACGAATCCGCTTTCGTTGTCTAGCTCTTTCAGTTTCATTGTGAATAATAATTTCATTGGTTCTGTAAGCTTCTCTTTTGATTCGATCATTTAATTTTCGACTAATATCCGGAATCGTCCATTGCACTACTGTCATCACAAAACTGACCAAGTTTTGGTAAACGACAATAAAAGCCAAACGCGCCGCTAAGATATGCCAATATATAATTGGTCGTTTGTATTTCTGATCCATTTCTGTTATGTTAAAAGGATTTCTGTATTCCGCATACCTGAAATAAGGACAACAAAATTTATATGATAATGTATTTTACTGGAATTATCAGAGATTTTAATAGAATGGAAAGTATTTCTAAGGAAAATGAGCCAATAGGTATGGTTTCTCATTTAAAAAGTTTACATAACCGCCGGAAATCAAAACACTATACAATAAGGATGTAAATTGTGCCCCTCTCCCTTAAATTTTCATTGGAAGAAGATAGAGACATAAAATAAAAACGAGGTAAAATTAGAGAAATATTTTGATATTTTTGTTATAACGAGAAGCACTTTACTTGAGACGTAAGATAGAGAGCGTTACTATCTTTAAATTTTCTAATGGAAAGTAAAGGCATGAAATATATTTTCATTATCTTTACGTCCATGCAAACAGTTTTACTTGTTTTATGTTTTTATAAAGAAAAAATTAAATAAGTTAGTGAAGTAAGTTACAATCTTGATACCCCTTGTATTTACTATTATAATTTGTTACTAACGAACTTTCTCTTCTATAGAACGAAAACGAACCAATCTTGTAATAAAACTTTCAATACACAAGCCATTAAATGTCAGTAAATAGTGTGTTAAATAATGATATAAATTTTTTTAAATTTTTTTAATTTATAAGAAAGCATTTCCTTAGTATTAAAAACACTAATACTAAATATGAGGGTTACCAAGAATATACATTATTTCATTAATTTGTTAAATGTAATTTCGGTAAAAACATAAAAAATCTCCAAAACTGTTTGCATGGAGTAATAAAGAAAATAGCTTTTAAATGAGGTATTACATGACCCTACTTTTCATTAAAAAATGTAAATATAGTAACGCCCTCTATCTTACGTCTCAAGTAAACTGCATCTCGTTATAATAAAAATATTAAAATATCTCTCTAATTTCAGCTTGTTTCTGTTTCATGTCTCTATTTTCTTCCAATTAAAAGTTAGGAGGGGGCAAATAATACTAATGAATTAACCAAATGAAAAGCCAGGAGGGCAACCAACCTTCCCTTTCCTCCCTCCCGGTCGCTCATAACATATTTCAAAACAATTTTATGCCAGTGAAAAAACAGCTCAAACAAGCCGAGTCAACTCTAGCAACACTTCAATCATAGAGTAGTGCGAAAATTTATCGGTCTTTTCATTACATTTATCGGGAAATTCAGCCTTTTTAGGAGATTGTCAGCATCTGTGGTATATTCAGACAGTTAGTTAGCTTATTCGTTGCTAGTCTTCTGATTTAGAGCGCCTCAAGTTTTCCATACTTCGGAACAATCTGTTTTGGTTGTTCTTTTCTCCTCACTTTCTAGGTTTCCGTATATTTGTTTCAATTGTTCATCATTTCCTCCATCATTCATTTTAATATTTTGAATCGTTTCTGATTGAATCGTTTCTGATGCCAGATCTTATTTGCTGTCTTGAAAGTCGTAAAATTCACCTTCAGATTCGGAATCAGCATCCAAGACAGTTTTCTCCATACTTTCTTTTGGATTCTCCATAGTTTCGTAAGATTTTTTTACGATTTCTGGCTTCTAAACTTTTAACCACGGCTTGGTTTAGAAGTATTTCGGCAGGAAATCGTGGTTTTGGGGGTATTTGTCTTATTTGGTTGCGGTTGGGAGTTAATTTTCAGTGATTGCTGTGCAGTGTTCTCCATACTTTTTTGAGCAAATAATTCAAGTACTGGAACATCCTGATTTGGGACGTTAACTCAAGTGTTAGTGCTTAGCTTACTAATGTCTAGGGATAATTGGAGTATTTGATTGGATTTTATGGTCTCAGGGGTCTGGTACATTTATCGGAAAAAATCCAGCCTTTTTGGATTAATTTTTAGGAAATTGTCATCATCTGTGGTATATTCAGACTGATAGTTAGCTATCCATTGCTAGTCTTCTGATTTACGAGTAGAGCGCCTCAAGTTTTTCCATACTTAAGAACAATTTGTTTTGGTTAAGTTCTTTTCTCCTCGCTTTCTAGGTCTCCGGATATTTGTTGCAATTATTCATCATTTCTTCCATCATCCATTTTATTATTTTGAATGGTTTCTGATGCCAGATCTTATTGGCTGTCGTGACAGTCGTGAAATTCAACTTCAGATTCGAAATCGACATCTGAGACAGTTTTCTACATACTTTTTTCTTTTAGATTCTCCATAGTTTCGTAAGGTAAGATTTTTTTTACAATTTTTGGCTTCTGAACTTTTAACCATGGCTTGTTTTAGATGTGTTTCGGCTGGAAATCGTGGTTTTGTTTCAAGTTTTCCATACTTCGGAACAATCTGTTTTGGTTAAGTTCTTTTCCTCCCCACTTTCTAGGTTTCCGTATATTTGATGCAATTGTTCATTTCCTACATCATTCATTTCAATATTTGGAATCGTTTCTGATGCCAGATCTTATTGGCTGTCCTGACAGATTCGGAATCGGTATCCGAGACAGTTTTCTACTTACTTTCTTTTGGATTCTCCATACTTTCTTTTGGATTCTCCATAGTTTCATAAATTAAAATTTTTTTACGTATTCTGGCTTCCGAACTTTTAAACATGGCTTGGTTTAGATGTATTTCGGCTGGAAATCGTGGTTTTGAAATATTTGTCTTATTTGGTTGCGGTTGGGAGTCAATTTTTTAATCTTCTCCATACTTTTTTGAGCAGATAATCCGACCACTAACTTCTGTGTTAGTGGTTAGTTTACTAACGTTTTAAAGATGATTTCAGTGCTTGCTTGGATTTTATGGTGTCAGGAGTCTATGTTCTGGCTATACTTCGTATGTTTTCTTTACTTTTCCATTTATTTCTCTAATGTTTAGAGACTTTTGGGCACCTGCATGGGTTGGGTGAACTTTACCTGGCCCGCGTAATACCATGAGTCAAACTTGGATATCGCGAACGAAAATAAAAACTAAAAATGTTATTTAGATAAGAGAGCTGAAAAGTATTGATGTTACGAGTGCGGGTCAATAAGTCCGTCACTTTTTGAATTTCCCGCCTCTTAATTGAAATGGCAACAATGCTCCCGTCAACAGTCATATGTCTGTTGACTCTTGTCAAAAATTGAACAAGCTGCGACATTTAGTTTGTTTTTTAACAGCCGTTAATATCAGACTACCTCGTTGACTGAGAAGAAAATGGAAAAAAGTGAATTTCGTGGGCTAAACTTGATAAACATTATGAGGACTCTGCACTATCCATTTCCATGGTGAAAAAGTGGTTTACTGAATTCCGATGTGGCCGTACAAGCACGGAAGATGCCGAACGTTCTGGACGCCCAGTTGAGGTCTCCACATCGGAAACAATTGAAAAAATCCACGATATGTTTGGCGTTGTTCAGTCGCAATATGAACGAGTTTTTTGTGCCGTTTCGTAACCGTGGACGAAACGTGGATCCACCACAACACACCGGAGACCAAACAGCAGTCAAAACAGTGGGGTTTCTCGAGGTGAATCGGCGCCAAAGAAGGCAAAGGTGGGTTGGTCAGCCAATAAAGTCATGGCGACTGTTTTTTGGGATGCACGCGGTATTATACACATTGACTACCTTCAAAAAGGAAAAACAATCAATGGTGAATATTACAGCTACTTATTGGGTCGATTCGATGAGGCATTGAAAAAAAAAGCGACCGCATTTGGCCAAGAAGAAAGTCCTTTTCCACCAGGATAATGCACGGGTGCACACATGTGCAGTTTCCATGGCAAAAATACATGAATTGGGCTACGAATTGCTCCCTCATTCCGGCCTATTCACCCGACCTAGCCCCGTGTGACTTATTTCTTGTTTCCGAACTTGAAGAAATGGCTCGGCGGAAAGAGATTTGCCTCCAATGACGAAGTCATCTCACAAACAAATACCTATTTTGAAGACATCGACAAATCATATTTTTCGGAAGTGATAAAAAAACTGGAGAAACGTTAGGCTAAGTGTATAGAGCTCAAAGGAGACTACGTTGAAAAATAAAATAACTTTTTATCTAAAAACCTGTGTTTCATTCAAAAAGTCACGGACTTATTGACCCGCCCTCGTATTTCGATGATTTCGAGATTCCGGCATAAATTGTGGTGATGATTTTCGAAAGTTCGGTGGCGATTTCGGTATTTCGTTTGCAGTTTCTAAATTTCGGTAGTAATTTCGGGATTTTCATGATATTTCTTAGGTTTCGAAAGTTTTGTAAGCGATTTAGATGATTTTTTAAGCTATTTAAAAAATATTTTTATGTGAAATTAATTTTGTGTATCATTGTCTTACTATCGAAGATGGCCAAATTCGAAAAGTTAGATACATATTCGTATAAATCTATTAATTATATTTTCTTACCTGCAAACAGTAACATTTATAGATGGATTTATTGGAGCACTTTCAGGAGGAAAATCAGCCGTGTTAAAATATGCTAAACTATGTTCTAAATATCCCTCTTCGTTGTGCTCGGTGGACACTCTCATTTCGTACACTAACCGTGGAATAAAATGTGACGAAAATGCAATTATAAAAGCATTCGAAGCAACAGATATTCTGCCGACAATTGCTAATATTGAATACCACACTCCTATGTTCTTGACTCGTTGCGGTATTGGCCTTCTGTAATATTTTATGAACTTCTTTGCGTCCAATCGCATTTCTAGCACGTTGTTTATGAGGGCAAGGAGTGGAGCCAGTGGAAATGCGGTTACGAAGATGGTGATGAAACCATATTGCAGCACTGAAATTAAAAATATATTTCAATAAAAGGGTATCGTTTTTGAGGAAAATACAAAAACTGGGAAAAAACACGCCGAAAAATGTATGTATCTTAGATTTTTTAATTATCAAGTCGAATAATTATTTAGTTACCAAATTATTTTATCGATAGAACACAATGCGTGAGAATCAACCGCCTACAGCCACAGCTGATCACATACTCGACACTCAAGGCGACTCACCTCGTTCTGCCTGGGGAGATGTCGGCGATACTTTGCTACCGTAAACGTTTACCCAGCACCCCCCCGCTCTTGACCTGCCGCTGTTCTATACATTATATAATAATGAGCAATCACACAAAAATTTGTTTACCTGTTAACTATGTATATATAATAAATTCTTTCGATCATTATGATCACTGCGCATAGTGAAATTTTGAAAAAAGAAGTCGAAATCTTCAGTTATCTGTACTTAAAATTGGTAGTAAACTAAATCAGAAGAGTTCAATTATAAAATTAACACAGAGGTTTGCTAGAAAATATTGAAGATGATTATAATAAATCAGTAGAATTTAATATAACGATAGGACCATTTTTTTATATAATATAAATGTAATTAATAATTTACCCATTTCTAAATATTCAGCAAACAAAACTTCCGCTTTCTAAATCTGACAGCTTATAGTCCTCCGTCCATTGTTACAACTTATTAAAGCTATTTCTTCTTTTTCCGCTTTTCAATGCCGGTCGTTATAATGAAAGTTTTATACATTTTTTAAAAGCAGTGGAACGACCATTTCCACAATTGTATTGACAGCTTGGTTGCCGATCATGATGATTGCAAGTTGTATGGTAAGTTCCATCAAACATCCACCAGGGATTGCAACTAAAATATTTAATTTTTAATCGATCTTTTATGCAAAGATGTCATTGTTAGTGACAGATAAATCAATAGTAGTAATTGATTCCACCAAAATGTTTCAAAAGAAGAATATCGAAAAATTGGCACGTGTCAGTGGCGTACTATTGTTTTTTGTAAGATTCAGACATTCGTTGAATGTTTATTTAACATCGTCTCCCCTCGAAAGTAACCGGGGCGAGGTTAGAACAATTAAAACTTTGTTTGAGTTAAACTATACGCGAAAAAAAAAAGAGAAAATTTGTGAATACATCGCATTGTTATCAGTCTAGACCGGCTGGCGGAAACGTCCCAAATCAGTTTCCTAGCCCTGCCTCTATAACCTGATGTACCTTTGCTTACTTTTTGTTAAAAATAGTACCTGTAAATTGACTTTATTTGAAAGTGTTAATATAAGGCGTGTATGCATAAATTATATAGTAATAAGTGTTAAAAGTGTTTGAAATACAAAGGGTTGTAATGTGGGTATAATGATATTAGTGTCTTATGAGAAGATCACCCTGTATAAAATACGAAACAGTTGTAATGAGGGTATAGTAACACAAGAGTGTCTTATGAGAAAGAGGGTAGTTTTAATATAAACATATATCCTGCTGATAGGGTAGTTACGATATGAAATATATGTTTAAAAAAATGAGGTGTAAATAAATTTTTTAGGTTAGCTATAAACGTAATTGTAAAACGAATTTGAACATTAAAATACCTATAGAAAGTGTTAGTATATACATATATGAAGGTTTTAGATATGGGTGCGTATGTAAATGCCGATAGAAGGCTTTAAATAAACGAAAAAATTGAAGTACCTATAAATGTATGAGTGTGTAGTATGTAGGTACCTATAGAAAGGGTTTTTTAAACGAAATTAAAACGAAGAATAAATTTTGTTTTAAATTTTGTAAAAATCAAATACAAAATTTTAAAAAGATTTACCAAATTTTAATGGATTTTTCAAATACTTTTACATTTAAACTTAAAAGAGAATCCAAGGTAGGGTGTTCTTCTCATAAGACACACATTACAACGCTTTGTATTTTAAACACTTTTAACACTTATTGCTACATAATTTATGCATGCTCGCCTTATATTAACACTTTCAAATAAAGTCAATTTACATGTACTATTTTTCACAAAAAGTAAGCAAAGGTACATCAGGTCATAGAAACAGGGCTAGGAAACTGATTTGGGACGTTTCTACCAACAGGTCTAGACTGATAACTATTCTCAACTCAAACAAATATTTTTTAATTGTTTTATCCTCGACCTCGAGGGGGGAGAATGTTAAATAAACACTCAACATATATCTGAATCTTCAATGAGAAAATAAAACAATTTTGGAGTTGTTGTATTTCCTCACTTTTACATTTTCTTTAAAAAAAGTGCAAATAATCTACACATATTAATAAAAAACTTCCACTTACCTCTTCTTGACGATACCCAAAAATTTTGTTGTACTTTGCGGGATATCCTACAAATTTTCCTTTGATGAAGGCTATGTAAAAAATGCACGAATAGTAGTTGACAAATTGAAACATGTAAATTTTGATGGCCAAACTATCATCGAATTCAGTTTGAGTTCTTTGCAACTCCATTTCCGTTAACCACTCCTGCGAGTCTGTTGTAAATAAAATTTAAAATTACGATGCACACCAAATTTATTAACCCGGCAGTTATGGGCACCACGTAGATTTTGTAACTTAATTTATCGCTGAAATACAAAAAAAATACTGATATACTAGTTGGTAAATAATAATTTGCAGATTGTATGCTAGTTTATGTAGAGCTTTGTGGAATTTCAGATATCACACTATATACTGGAAATTAAGTTTTAAACTTCTTCAATCTTTTATTTATTTTATAAAATCTGGCAATATGACAATTACAATAATACAGGGTGTTTAGTTAATATTGTATATCCAACAGTTTAGAATTCAACGAAGAATCAATAAAAAAAAACCTTAGTGGTGTTAAAAAATAAAGAAAACATTTTAAATGAATACATTCAAACTGTTTAGATTAATTTCCTTCACTATAACTTTTTATTTTATAAACTCATATTATTTTTTACCAGTTAACTATATAATAGATTAGTTTGAAAAGTTATGTAAATTAAAATAATAAAAATATACTCACCCGTACAACACATCAGAAGTGACATACGACATTCGGTATACCACTATTCCCACAACAACTACAAGTGCAATTAAGGTCCAAAACAGCGCAATGGAAAAACTGAGAATTATCGAGGGTAGTTTGACCCTCCAAAATGGAACTACTGGTTCTTGGAGTTGGGTGACTACATTTAGTTTCTTTTTCTTTGCATTCGCTAATCTTAGTAAATATTCTGGTCTAGGAGGTTCGGCTTGAAGATCGAAACCTGTCAGACCCCATCTGTGTGCTATTTCTGCACTGTATCTACAAAATAAAAATGCATATACATAGAATTAATATACAGAGTTTGGGATAAAGTACGGAACCAAATAAATATCATAACCAAAACGTGATAACGTTGAAAATTTGCAGGATGATGAAATGGCACATAGGGCATAATCCTGCAACTTTTTTGTTGTTGAAATATACATCTTGCTTTTCGAATTCGTTTGTAATGGGTTTGGTATGAGTATTTATTTGGTTTCCATTTGGTTCCATACTTTATCCCAACTCTGTATAAACCATGTCAGTCTACTGAATGAATATAATTTTATACCCATTGTAAAATATACAGGGTCCTACTATTTCTAGGGACATTATTGCTATATCTTAAACAGTAACCGATAGAAAGTTGGTTAAATTAGACAAAAGTTGCGTAGATTTGTGCTCAATAAAATGGTGCCAAGAAACCCTTGATATCTACAAGGAGATTCAAATAATTGGACAAAAAATTAATGAATTTAAAGAAATGACAATTTTCAATTTCTTGTTTAGTATTCTTAAAAAAAATTAAAAGACAATTCCATTAGTTATTAAGATTAAATATGATTAAAATGAATGATTATATTAAAAAATAAATAAATAATGGCAATGCACTGGATATTTGTTTAAATTTTAATAAAATTAAAAAAAAACAAATAAATTATAAATGATAAAACAAAATAAATTGTAAAGATGTCAAGGAAAAATTTAAGCAATGAGTTCCTGTTAGAAGAGTCCGGGGTTAAAATCCCGGCTGAAGTCAAATTCCTAATTTTTTAACTTTTGTTTATTTAATTTTAAAAATTAGATGCATGAGTTCAAATCTTGGGTTTATTATTTTGGGGAGTTTAAGGGATATTGAAATATTTTTATCAAAAATCAAGTTCTATAAGGGACAAAACCTAGTCTGAAAAAACATTTGATTAAAAATGGTGGGTTAAGGAGGGTTGAAATTAAAAAATCAATCAAAAACAAAAAGCGATATCAACATGAAATTTTAAGTAAAAATCAAGCTCTATAAGTCTATAAGAAGATGAAGCCTATAGATTCTAAAAAAAATGTGAAAAAATTGGGGGGTTAAAGGGGGGTTAAAATATATTAAAAAAATTCTAATTTAAAAACGAAAAATGATATCAACTTGACATTTTTAAACAAAGATCGAACTTTATAGAGGGAAGAAGTTTTTTGATTAAAAAAAAAATGATTAAAAACAGGAAATTTTTAGTAAAAATCAACCTCTATAAAAAGATGAAGTCTATTGATTCTGAAAAAAATCTGAATAAATTGGGGGGTTAAGCGAGGGGGTTAAAATATAAAAAGAAATCTTAACTAAAAAACGAATAATGTTATCAATTTGAATTTTTTAGAAAAAATCAAGCCCTATAAGGAGAAGATGCCTTTTAATTTTAAAAAGAATTTGATTAAAAATGGGGGGTTTGCAAGGGATTGAAATGAAAAAAATTAAATAAAAAACAAAAAATTATATCAACTTGAAAATTTCAGGAAAATCAAGCTCTACAAGGGGATGAAGCCTCATAATTTAAAAAAAATCTGAATAAAAATAGGGGGCTAAAGGGGGTTGTAATATTTTAAAAAATCCTAACAGAAAAACGAAAGTTTATGTGAACTTGAAATTTTTAGCAAAAATCAAGCTCTATAAGGGACAAAGGTATAAAAAAATGATTAAAAATGGGAGTTAATGAGGGTTGAAATTAAAAAAAAATCAAAAACGAAAAGCCAAATCAAACTTTATTTCTATAAGAAGATGAAACCAATTGATTTTGAAAAATATGAATAAATTGTGGGTTAAGAGGGGTTAACATATTAAGGGTTAGGGGGAAGGAGGTGTCAAGGGGGTTAATGGGTTTAGAGGATATGTAGGGCTATGGGGGTTAAATGAGGTTAAATTGGGGTAAAGTGGGGGTTAATTTGGGGTAAAAAGGGGGTTAAGTTGGGTTAAGAGGGAGAATTAGGGGTTAAGTAGGTAAGAGGGGTTAAGGAGCGGCTGGAAAATCAAGCTCTACAAGGAAAATAAGGCCTAATGATTTTGAAAAAAAAAAATCTGAATAAAAATAGGGGGGTAAAGGGGGTTGAAATATTTAAAAAAAATCAAGCTCTATAAGGGACAAAGATATAAAAATAATTGATTAAATATGGGAGTTAAGGAGGGTTGAAATTAAAAACGAAATCAAAAATCAAAAACAAAAAGCCAAATCAACATGAAATTTTTAGTAAAAATAAAACTTTATTTCTATAAGAAGATGAAACCTATTGATTTTGAAAATTATAAATGAATTGCGGGTTAGGAGGGGTTAAAATATTAAGGGTTAATTCAAAATTTCAAGCTCCTACCTTTAAAAAAAATCAATACTCCCATACAAACATTCACCCTTTCCCCCATTTCCCCCCTTTAAAATGTATAAATCCAAAAATCCTAAAATACGTCATTATTTTTTTATAAGTAGCTACAATTCCAATTTTCAAGTTCCTACCTTCAAAAAAATCGATACTCCCATACCAACTTTGACCCCCCATTTTCCCCCCACTCAAATGTAAAAATCCAAAACCCTGAAATATTTCATTAATTATTTATAATAAGTATCTA